CGAATCCTGCGCGTCCTGTGGGTGGAGAGAAGGGGAGCCACTGTCTGCAGACCACGACCGGGTGCCCTGGCACTTGGCACGGGGCTGGGAAGGCGGGGAAACTGCTCGCTGCGGACTGAGAGGAGTCAGCACACACGGCGGCCCGAGCTGTGGGAGGAGTCCGGCCTCAGGGACAGTGGGAGCCCAGCGAGAGGTGAGCACAAAGATCCCTGGAGAGTGTTCCGTGTGAGGGGCAGGAGGAGCATCGGCAGAGCTGGAGCAAAAGCGCCAGACAGAGGAGAGGGGCGCAGGCCGAAGGCGACAAAACGAGGAAGGCGGCGCCAGCGCAAGAGGCGCTGGAAGGACCAGCAAGGAGCCTGAGGACTGGAAAGTTCCAGGGTTCCCCGAAAGCTAGAGAACGAGCCGGGGCAGGTGGAGGGCGCAGCCTGGTCGCCGCCCACCCCCGGAGCCAGGGTCGTCCTTCCGCTCGCTCCGTGGAGCTTCGATTCCCGAGCCGTGCGGAGCGAGGGCCGCACACAGCAGGGCGACGGTGGAGGACACGACAGAGGGAGCGAGGGAGCGAGACGCGGTCGGGAAGTCTGAGCAGAAGGGAAAACGGCGACGCCAGCCGGAGCCGGAAGGGGTGCGCGGCGGGGCGAACCCAGGCAGACTGGAGATGCGGAGGCCGGAGGGGCCACGGGGGTGCGGTCCGAGGACGCTAACATGGCCCGGGGCCTCCCTCCTCTGAGGAACGGGACAGCGAGGCGGCCGTGGGTGTGAGGCCGTCTGAGGCCAGCAAACAGCAGACCAAGGTTCGGAGCGCTGCTGGGATCGAGGCCTAGTGACCGGGTGCTGACTCGGAGCTTGGTCTACGAAATCTAGGGCAGGAAGTGCAGAGAGCTGGTTCGCAAGACTACAGACCTCGTACCAATAGGCATTCATGACCTTGGCCAAATCACGGAGCTTGGGGAGTTTGCACTGATGGTAGCGGAATGATGACTCCTCTCATGAGGGATCGTGGAAACGATTACATAAACAGTACAAGCAAAGGACTCAGTGTGGAGCCTCTTACCCGGCAGGGAAGCTACTGCCGTTCTATTGTTAACCACAGAACCAGGTTTCAGAGAACACAGGAGGGGAAGGGGCCCTGCTGCGTTTTCTACTCATTCATTCGTCCATCCATCCATCCACCGCTGGGTGTGTCTGGGCCACTCACAAAAATGCTCTGGAGCACAAGGGTGGGCACAATAAAATGTCCCTGCCCTCAGGGCGCGTCTACTCTAAGCGAGGAAGCCAGCACCAAAGAGGACACTAAAATGTAACCTTGTGCTGTGAGAAAGGCCAGGAGGCACGAGTGCAGCAGGGTACAGGCGGGCAGCTGGTGACCGAGGAGCCCCATCATCTCCCGGGAACCCAGAACCCCAACTTCCCTCATACTCTTCCACTCCGTCATATTTCTGTAAAAAGCTAACTTTCCCTGGAAGATACCAGCGTCCTCTGCCTCTCGCATCTTGCCACAGAATGGAGCGGAAGCAGATTCACAGAGGAGCAGCTGCTGTGTGCGCAGGACGGGACTGTGCTTGAAGATCAAGGTTACGGGAAGAGGAACGACTCAGGTACTGAGAGCTTCCGTGGGCTCCTTGGGTCAGCGATGCCTCTCCTGCCTTCCCAGCTCCTCAGAATGCACTTTCCTGGGCCTGACCCAGCAACCTGTGTCTCAGCAACCCCTGAGTGATTGTGAGAAAGAGTACAGTTGGAGAGCACTGGGAAGCAGAAGTGTTCATTCAGGGGCTGGGGATGCAGCCGGTGGGGGCACACTTGCCTACCATGCATGTGCAAGGCCCTGGCTTCAAGCACTGCGATGCAGAAAGAAATGATTTTATACAAGAACGAAGTAATGATGACTAGTGCTCACGCGGTCCTGCAGGCCTCCAGACTTTGTACTAATGTTTTTATGGACACAGCTTATTAATACTCAGGAAGGGCTGGGCACTCAGTTCTCTGCTTTGAAGATGAGGTAGTGAGGCTCAGCACCCCAAGAGTGTCCCTACAGCTGGAGCCGGGCAGTGGTCTGGCGAGGGTTTCACATCCAATCTTTTGGACTCCACGCCATGGTCAGAGTCCTCACGCTCACTCTAAGTAGGACGCTCTGGTCTAGATCCAGGCCACGCAGTCTCCTCCACCCATCTCCTCATATCCTGGGTGCCTCTCGTAATCGAGGGCTGTAGTGTTTGCATTTGTGAAACTGGCTCACCCTAGTGAAATATGTGAATATTGAGTTTTTTATTAGAAAAAAAAGTAGCCCTAAAGGAAAATAAGACCATGATGTTCATAGACAAATTAAGTTCCCCAAACCATGCTAGTCCTGTTTACTTAGCAATTAATTAACATTCTCAAAATCTGGGAAGTAACTGAGGATTGTGCTGAAGAACAAAGTGAGCAGGGCGATTGTGCATAAAGAAATCAGCCTGAAAAGGGAGCACAGCACCACCCTGTGAGAAGGGGTGCACGTTCTCCTGCAGGCGCTCACACTCCTCTTCCCAGAACCTTCAGCGCCGCTTCTCCACCTCTGCTCCTGCTCTTCCACCCGGAGGAGATGGCGCCTCTCTCCCAAGAGCCTTGGCTGTGACCACTTCCAGAAGTTCTAGCGCAGCCCCCAAAGGATCGAAGTGCCACTCTGGCTGCTGCCCCTGATAACCTCTGCCTCTCAGGTCAAAGAATTCGGTCCTGCCACGGTTCGAGGTCCTTGTCCCAAACTTCGGACTCAGCAGGAAGAAGAGTCCCCACACCAAAGAGTTACCTGGCCCCAAATATCAACAGGGCTACTGTTGAGAATAAAACGCCCTGGACAGAATGGTTCCAAAACAACGAGACGGTTTAATATCTGTTCAGTGACAACTGTCTGCTGGGCACTCTTCCAGGTGCTGGGAAAGCACAAGTGAACTGAGTATGCAGAAATCCCTCCCCTCCTGCAGTCTGCACTCAGTGTGAGGGAAATGGCTATAAACAAAGCAATGTGGTGTCAAAGGCTTGGGATTAATATGAAGAAGGGGAGGAGACAGAACATGTCAAGGCTGGGACCAGGGCTTCTTTGGACAGGGTAGTCAGGGAAAGACAATGACAGTTGATAAAAGATGTGAATAAAGTGAGAGAGGAAGAATTATCTGGAGGAAGAGCATTCTAGGAACAAGACCAGTCAGTGCAAAGGCCCTGAGGTGACAAGTGTTTGTTTAAGTCAAAAGGAAGAGAGAGGGGAGGATAAAGGTCTGCTTTCTTCTGTCCCTTCATGACCTTATTTTGGGACCATTCCATGTAGGGCATGGCTTCTCAGTGGCAGCACTGGTGGCACTTGGGATGGATAATTCTTTGGTGTGCAGATTGTCTTGTGTGTTGGAACATTTTAGTCATTACCTTGAGCCCTGCTCACTAGATTCTAATAGCACCTGCTCCTTGCCTCAAGCCATTCAACAGCGTCTGTAGACATTTCAAGTGTCTCACAAGGAGCCAAAGTGCATCTGACTCAGAGCTACTAGGCAAGGGGCAGTGGGTGAGTGGTACAGTGTCTGTCAGCATCATCATTAGTTATAGATTACTAAAAACAGATGCCTGCTGAAAAAGAGGGCTAGGATATCTAAATGGAAACTAAGCTAAGCAACATCTGAAGTCACCGATCAAGCCAAAAATTTCAACAAGTCACTGTTTGATTAAAACAGGTAATGATTGTGCAACGACTAAACTTATTAAATATGATTTGTCTTAATTATTATATTTATCTGAGAATAAGCACAAAAACATGCCAAGGCTCCAAACCCAGACCTCCATAAGCATAAAGAAAGGCCCTGAACACATCGTATATGTGGTTGAAAGACTAACCCTCTAGGCTGGGATGTAGTTCAGTGGTTCCACCATCTGCCTGGAAAGTGCAAGGTCCCGAGTTTGATCCCCACTACAGAGAATAGGCCTCTATTGATCTGACTGATCTACTTTAAATTCTAATATAAAAATGTGAACAGTATCAAACACCCGATAACACATATTGCCTTTGGACAATATGTACCTTGGAAAGTTTCACAACTTGGTTATTTTTTAAATGATTTATTTCTTGCTATTTTGGATCTCTTTCTAGGAAACCTTGGCAAGTTCCTAATTTCTAAAATAAGTTATTGGAATGTTTAATACGTAAGAACTGAAAATTCTTCTATCATTAAAAGTGTATGTTAATTTGTTACAAAACTGTGGCCCTCCTTATGTTTTCACAAGTGATGGAGACCCCAGACCGATTTATTTTAATGTTTTAGACTCTGATGGCAGGCTTCGGGGATGGTGGTGGTGATGCGAGCTAATAGGAAAATTTTCCCCTTCTTGATTTTGGTTTAAAAACAAAACAAAAGTTGTAGTAATTACCTTTGGTTATTAACTATGTCACATTTAATGTTTTCCCCTTAATAGAAAACACTGGCCCAAGCTGCTCACAAGTTTAAACTCAGGACTTCAGACCACGTACCTTTAAGACGAAGCAGTGCTCACTGGGCGCTTTGTATTTCACTCTGCACTGCACCCCGTAGTAAACGTTGACATTTTCAAACTGTATAAAACATGCCAGATCTCGGGAGGTCTGAAAGAGAGGGAGAAAAGCGCCTGACTGAGACGACAGCCGGTCATTTCCCGAGGCCGTCCCGATGGCACCACGAAGGGTTCCATTTCAGCGGAGAACACGGAAGTTTAGGTGACTGACGGGACATCTGTCCTACACCCTGCCGCACCTGTCCTGCGCCTGGCGGACGGAGGAGGGGTTCGCCGGGTTCTGGGGGTCGGAGCCTCTGACCTGGAGCCTGGCCTTGAGGGGCCCCTGGGGACTCAGCCCTACAGGGCGGCCAGCTCAGAGCTCATCGAGGCTGTCAGGCAAATTTGGTACCTGGTAAATCCGCACGCACCCTGCGCATCTCTCCCGGAGAAAAAGGCTTCCTCTCCCGCTTCCGCTGCAGAGTTGCCATGGAAACAGAGGCTTTCTTCCACACATAACGTGGCCCCGAGGATGGCGATCTTTTATCTACATTTCTGCCTACCCTCCAATTATACATTTGTTCATTATTTTTTCTTTTGCATTCTGTAATTCTTTATAGTGAATAAAGAATAAGAGGTCAAACTGCTACATGTATGCAGTTTTTCCTTTATCGAAGGTGTTTGCTTTCTCTTCTATTTTTTCATCTGGATTTTGTTTTTCTGTACTGAGGGTGGAACCCAGGGTCTTGCATTTCTAGGCAAATGTACCACCGCTGAGCTACAATCCCAGCCCAGACGAAATTTTAAAGACATGAATGAGGTTTTACTACAATCAGTTTCGTGGCTTGTTCTTTTGCTTTGTATTAAGTGTGTGCTTGCAGTACAGTCCTGTGAGGGGTTGGTACATGAACATAACACCTCTTAATTGTTTTCTCACCCCTTTAGCCTCCCCTTCCTCCCCCATCCATCTCTCTCTCTCTTTTTTAAAGACAAGGTTTCCCTTTGTAACCCAGGCTGGCCTCAAACTCACGGTGACCCTCCTGGCTCAGCCTCCTGAGTGCTGGGATTACAGGCGCACACACCGTACCCAGCCTTTTTCCTCCATCTGATCCCCTTCCCACTGGAGAAAGATCTATCTCCCTACTTCTTATTATCTATCTTTTATTTTGCTACTTATTTAAATTTTGGGTTTCTTATGAAAGAAACATGTGATATTTAGGCTTTGTGTCTGACTTACTTCACTTAACCCTACAGTCTCAAGTTTTTCTTGCTGTTAGCCTTGTATCTCATTTTATGGGTGACGATTTATTTGAAACCATTCTACCGTAGGTGATTAGAGGTTATTTCAACATTTTGCTATTACAAGAAATACTGTGTTCTTTTTTTCTCCCTGGCTACCTGAGGATCTGTTGCCATCAGGAATGACACAGTAACTATCCATGCCCTGCGGTTCCTGACCAACCGACTACTTCAAAAGAAACAAATGGTCACTGATGTCCTTCCCCTGGGAAAGCAACAGCATCCAAGACAGAAATTTGGGGAAAACTCACCAGAATGTACAAGACTACACTGGATGTCATTTTTGTGTCTGGATTCAGAACCCATTTCGGGGGTGGCAAGGCAACCGGCTTCGGCATGATTTACGATTCTTTGGATTATGCGAAGAAACATGAACCCTAACATAGACTTGCAAGTCACGGTCTGAGAAGAAAAAGACGTCCAGGAAGCAGTGGAGGGAGCGCAAGAGCAGAGTGGAGAAAGCCAGGGGCACCGCGAAGGCCGATGTTGGTGGGGGCAGATCGGACAACAGCTGAAGGAGCAAACGTTTTGCTGTGCCTGCCTGAGTGTTTCACGAGAGGACTAACAAACTGAAAACTTCAACAACAACAAAAAGAAATCCAGGGCAACTGAGCGAATGCTTCTGTCAGACGGATCAACTAACGTGAATCTGCTACGTCTAAGGTGCACTCCCTTTCACACCGCACAGGTCTTGCTAAATGATCCCCCATCTGACGGGACCAGTCTGCTTTCCTACTTCTCATGCGTAACAGCTTTTTCACGCAGGTGTTTTCTTACCCACACCCACCGAAAGTGGGTACTGTCACTTTTATTAATCCCTTGGGAGGAAATAACATCTCACCACCTAACGTACACTTTCCTGGTAACTGGTAAGGTGGATCAACTTTTCCTTTTTAAATTTTGTGGTGCTGGGGATCAAGCACACTTCCCAAGTGCTTTCCTGCAGAGCCGCACCCTGAGCTCCAAACAGAACTGTTCAGCGGCTGAACACTGAATTCTCACTTAGGCTTCGTCTGTCATTTTCCCTTTCCGTCCCTCCCGTCTTCTTCCTCTCCTCTTACTCCTTCTCCTCTCCTTTCCTTTCCTCCTCTGCTTCCTATTCCACTGGTCTGTCTCTCTCTCACCCCTCTCTTCCTCGCCCTGTCTCCCTCTGTCAATGCAACCAGAGCTGTAAATAGGCCAGACAAGGGCTGTCGCACAGAGTCGCATCCCCAGACCTAAACTATTCTTTGTCTGAAGTTTTCTTTTCTTTTCTCAAATGGGTTCTTGCTATGTTGTCCAGGCTGGACTTGAACTTGAGAGCTCATGTAATCCTCCTGCCTCAGCCTCTTGAGTAGCGGGGACTACAGATGTGTGTCACATGTCAACAGCATGGCTTGCTCCTTTTTCTTTTTACAAGTACATTTATCTTTTTCTAGTTGATTTGTTGAAGTCTTTATGGATACTTGTATCTGTTTTATATGTATTGCAAATGTGGCCTCTGACTCTGAAGCTAGTCTTTAACCTCGTTTGTATCTTTGGCCAAAGGGAATTTGAAAGCAACTTTATCCAGTCAAGTATGTCCGTTTCCTCCTTTGTGACTTGTAGTTTTTATTTTTGATTAAGAAAGCTTTTCCCCACCTCAACATTATAAAAATATTAACCTACATTTTCTCCCATGATGTTATACTATTTTTCTAAGTATATATTAATCTAGGATTTAATTTGGTACATGGGACAAGACTGGGAAGCTATTTTTCCCAAATGATATATAATATTTTAATGCTATTGAAAGAAATACTGTTTTCTCACTACTGTAAATTGCTGTTTACTTCTCTTTAGCTTAGATGGCTTTCTGTTGATCTATTCATCTCTGTCTAGGTTTTACTAACGTTTGGCCACTAGGAGAAGGCATTTCAGATCATAGCTCTTTATAATTAGGGGGTCTCTTGGAACAGTATGTCTTTCTGATTGATTTTTAGAATCAATGAATTTTAAATATAAGAATCTTACTGAAAATTTAAAAGAGATCGCACTGATTAATAGGAAAATCCTGCCAGGCATGGTGGCGCATGCTTGTAATCCCAGCACTCAGGAGGCTGAGGCAGGAGGATCACTGTGAGTTCGAGACCAGCCTGGGATACATAGTGAGTTCCAGGTCAGTCTGAACTACATAGTGAGACCCTGTCTCAAAAACAAAACAAAACAAAAAATAAAAATAGGGAAATCCTGGCAGAAGTACCTTTCATCTAACAACATGGCATGTTTCTATTTCTGGAGTTCACTTCTACTTTCTTTAATCTTATAATTTATGCTGTACATGTCTTGAACTTTTCTTAAGTTTATTGCTAAATATTTTGTATTTTTTCATTCCTACTACACATGGAATCTTTTGCATTATATTTAATTTGCATATTGTTTGTATCAAGGAAAACAAGTTATTTGGTCAATTTATTTGGTCTTAATAGATTTTCTTGTGTTGCTGGGCAGGTGGGTTTGGCAACCGTGAACAATGAGACTTTCTGCCTCTTCTTTTTAATACTTCTTACTTAGTTCCTTGACTTACTGGTTAATTGCTTCGTACCAATAACAATGGTAGCAACAAGAGAAGGTTATCACTGTGAACACTTTTAATTTGTATCACTTAGTGCACTGGTCGTTACAGACTTATTTATATGCCTCGGTTACATTTAGGCAGAGTAAGGGGCGTCCCTCCTGTCCCCCACAGAGGCACAGGGGTGGAACCAGTCCCCCTCCCAGCAAGGGCTCTGGACCGAGCTTGCCTGCAGCCTGCATGTCCCCAGACCACAGCCTCCCCTGGGGAAGGGCGCACTGCGGTCACTGGCTCGGGAGCAGGCGAAGCCCGCAGTGCCAAGTGCGCCACATGGTGGTGCCCAGGTTCCTGTCCCGTCAGGGTTTGATGAGCTACATCTTAAAGCTTTCTAAAGGTGAGCAAAAGAAGGAAATATCCCAGTCCTCCAAGAGAGATCTGGGAAAAGCTAATGATCGGAATGAACATTACAGTTACATTTCAAAGAAGACAAATTTAAAACGTGCTAGTAGATTTGAGGCAGTAATAACTCACGAAGTAAAAGTTAAGTGATAGCTAAACTACTCTGCCAAAGTAGGCAGCGAAATGCACATAGTACACCTCAGAGAGTGATTTAAATGTTCAGAACATTTTGTTAGCCCCCCCCAATTCCGTTGTTTGGCTCTGGAAGGTTCCCCGAAGACCCATACGTGGAAGGCGTGGCCCTGGTGTCAGTGGGCGGTGTCAGCCTGTAGGGGTGTGGCTTAGGGGGAGAAGTGAGGTCACAGGGGGCGTGGCCCTTCCACACTTGCTTCTGTGCCCGTGCGAGGCCCCCTCCAAATGCTGCTTCCCTAACTGTGGTGCCTGCTGCTGGCCCAAACCTCCAAACCATGAGCCCAAATAAGCCTTAACTGTAAGGGAGTTCATTGTCTCAGGCGTTTTGTTACAGTAGTAGGAAGCTGACCGATGCACTGACCTTTGTCTTCCCTTTGGGTACATAATAAATTCCAGAAGCCCGTAAAAGAAAATAGCGCCGTTTCCAGGCTTTTTTTCCATCTTCTTTCAGATAAAGAGCTCCTTCAAGTTCTGGTACAATGACAGACGTTCCACAGAAACTTTCCTGAAATTGAGATTCCAAAGGCATAAAACACATGAAAGATAAAATAGACATTCTTTTTTTTTTTTTTTTTTTTTTTTTTTTTTTTTTTTTTTTTTTTTTTTTTTTTTTTTTTTTTTTTTTTTTTTTTTTTTTTTTTTTTTTTTTTTTTTTTTGGTACCGGAGATCGAACTCGGGTCCTTGAGCTTGCAAGGCAGGCAGCGGAACCACTGAGCTAAATTCCCGGCCTAAAACATTCTTGTTCAGTTTATTTTGAGACAGGGTCTCACTATGCAGTTCAGGCTGGCCTCGAACTCATTATGTAGCCCAGACTGCCTTTGAACTTGCAGTGATCCTCCTGCCTCAGCCTCCTGAGTGTACCACCAGACCCAGCTCTTCTCCACACTGAAACAAGTTTTCAAGTTAGCCTTTAAGCTAAAAGTCAGTTTTGCCCACAACTCTGAACACTCCTGTTTCCATTATATGCCATTTGCCACAGGGAGGAAGGTGTGTTTAACAGCGCCCATAGAGGCTCCTGGGTTAGACCTCAAGGCACTGAGACTGGGACTATGGATCACTGAACTTCTCTTCCCTCACGCGAAAAAAGTGGAAGAATAGGTCTACTTCATAAGGTCAGGGAGCACCTCTTGGTGTACTGTAAAAGCCAGCATTTAACAAAGTCTCTTACTATTGTTACAAATTGGAAAATAAAAAGTTCTTACTTTCCAGGTAAGTAACAGAATTACTACTTCGCTGCTGGTAATTGGAAAACACATCACTATATTGTAAAAAGTTAATATTTTATTCTTGGGATTGTTTCCTTTTAGGATAATGAAGAATTTCTACTACTATAACAGAAAGGAAAAATGAAACACATTTCCAGGCATGTATTTTTAAATCTCAAAACTTTCATAGAATTATATAATTCTTAATAAATTTTTTCTTATGCATCTTGTTTTGAGACAAAGTCTTATGTAGCCTCGGCTCCTTCAACTCCTGATTCTCCTGCCTCAGCCTCCCAAGTGCTAGGATTACAAGCATGTGCCTACCCTGTCATCTATTCTTTTAGCTCAAATACTCAAACTTATTTTTTGCTTTCTTTTTATAACTCTCAACATTCTTTTAGTCTCATAAGTGCAAAATAACTTAATTTTGCATCCTCCAAGTATATTTATACATGGAAACATTTTTGTTCACATTTCCCCTCACATAACCAGTGCCCAGTTTAGACACTGATTTCTAAGCTTAGAAACATAGGGCCGTGTCAGGACAATTCTCTTCCCATGTCTGTGGGTCTCCCTCGCAGCTGGATGTGCCCGGCCCCGTCTCCCTCTCGGGACACCTCCTGCCCGACTCTTCCCGGGTCAGCCCGGAGTCTCACTCAGCGGGGACAGGGCGGCTGCGTGTTCCCACGCTGGGCCTGCATGGCCTCAGCACGCGTCTGCGACCAGCCATCTGCGACCTGCGTTTCTTCCAGCGGAGAAGAGCCTTGATTCCTAGCAGAGCCGCCGCACAGTTACTAGGAGTTTCCAAAACTCAGCTGTTAAGCGGACCTCTCCACTGTCCCAGCGGTAATCACCATGGATACCTGCGCTCCCACCACCTCCGAGTCTAATCTGCGTGACGATTCGGCTTGGTCCGAACCCGAGGCTCCCAGAGGCGGGCCGGGCTCCCATCCACTCACCGACAGACAGCTGGGCCCTCGCAGCTCCAGGTCTCACGCTCTGGGCCGCCTGCAGCTGCGGCTCAGGAGAGCATCACAGAAGTGCGGGCGTCCGGATGCTCGCACACAGTACACCTCAATTCTTTCTAGCAAGATCTACCTCCTTACTTCCCACTTTAAACATTTTGCTTTTTATTGACACTCTGGGTTTCTCATTTAAGAGAAAGCATGTGGCATTTAAGCTTGTGTGTCTGCTTTTGAAAGCTTAACATCACAGTCTCACAGTGAGTGTATTTGGAAGATTTAAAGATTTGGAAATCCTCGTCTGACTTCTGTGAAGCACTTAAATAAAGGAACGTACGCAGTGTGAGCGGATGAGTTTTGTGAAGCTTTACAAGTCTTTTTAGTCAAAAATTGCCAATTCAAATTCGTGAAAAGCAAACTACGTTATCTAAAGCCACACTGTATTACAGCCGACTCAAGAATCAATTATCTAAATAGCTGTATTTAATAATAATTTGATTTTAAAACCCCAGCTTAAAATTTCAGTCTGTAGCTCAGCATTTCCCACTGTTCTGCAGAGTGAATAATTTAAAACAGATGAGGCACGTGTTCTTCTGTGTTTTCTCTGGAAAATTAAGCTTACCTCGAGTAAGGATTCTTTGGTCTTAGCATTCATTTTCTCCTTGGTCTGCTTGACTTCTTTTTTTCCTTTGTTATCCAAGTAGAAATTCTAAATCAAACGTTAAGAGATCAGGTCAGTCAGTGTTTGTTTCTGTGCCAGCACCGCAAGAAACTGATGGGCTTGGCGGAGAGGGGCCGAACTGTGTGAAGCAGACAGGCAGCCCTAGGTCGGCCAGAGGTCTGGCTCCCGGGCTCCCACATCGCGGACGCACAGAGCGTCTTCCTTCCTCTCTGTCACGCTCACAGGCAATGAGGAAACACCAGCAAAGTCAAATCCCCTTCAGTGGTGAAGTCCCATATCCAAGAACTCGAGGGGAAGCCAGGCAGCTCCGGGAAGAGCCTCAGCCTGTCCAAGAAACAGCATTTACTGTGTGTACACTGTCGACTTTCCAAATTCTCTACGTTCCATCACGCTGACCGGCCACCTCATATTATTGGATTTCCAGAAAGAAAGAGAAAGGTAGACACACAGACACACAGACACATTCACAACCTGTGTGGCTAGGGCACAGGTCACGGCTCTGTCCGCAGGCAGCTTGCCACGAGTGTCAAACACAATTCAGTGATTAGAAAAGAGCCTCTCAGCGATGGGAAAAAAATCCCACAGAAGTACTGCTTTATTTAATTACACATAAGCAGTGACTTCACCTTTCACTATTCCAAACACATTTATTGCTCATTTTTAAAGATGAGCTGTTAAAGCTGAAAAAAAAAAATAAAGATGAGCCTTCCTCCCCTGCCACAAAGTAACTGCGCTGTGGCTTTGAAATTAAGCAGAAAAATAAACAAAACCCAGTGCTGGTGACGAATACGCAGCAAATTCATTTCACTCCGGACAAAGCCTGAGAACCAATTTTCAGGGCTGTGAAGAACCTCAAATTTACCCATTTTCAAAGACCTGTTTGAAGATTATGCAGCAACTTTGTTGTTTTTCCTAGATTCAAAATCTGCAAACCCTCTCCTCCTATGAACCCACTGGAATCTCCAAGGGGCAGCGAAGGTGCCAGCCCTGCCATGCCGTGCCCTCTGCCGAGGCTTCCTTTGCCTCTGTGGCCACCACGGCCGTGGTGTGGAGGAAGAGGAGCTCCTGTTTCAGCACGCAGTCACCTTCCGTCAGCCTGGAGTGCTCTTTGCTCTCTGTCACGGCGAGGAGCACAGCAGCGTCAAAGGTTTTAGCTTTGTCTTCATGGCACCCAGATGTCCATCAGCATCTCCTTCCCTGCCCTGGGTACCAAGACCCGTGTCCCCTTGTCTTCTCCACTTACAGGTTCTCTTCTCTTAGGTTCATAGTGAAACCCTGTCGGTCTCCTCTTCGATAAACAGTGCGTCTGCACCTTCAAAGTCCAAGGCTTTCTCGAACTTCCCTGGACCATCTCTCTGAATGTCAAGTCTCCCCCGCCACCTCGGCGACATCCCCGGCCTCTCCTCGGGGCTGAGGCAGCATCTGCAGCTACCTGTTCCTTGCTGTCCTGAGCGGCGCATTTTCTGGCCTTGAAACTTTGTGGACCTCAGTGGGCTGTGCTCTTGATTTTCTGCTGCTTTTTAGCTGGCAGGTGGGAAAGACCGGCTGATACAGGGCTCCTTTCCGGGCAGGTGCCAGAGCAGGGAAGGGGCCTGCACCGTCTGTACTGCCTGTCCCGTGGGTGGGCCTTTCTCAAAGGGTCCATCCGAGGGCTTGGATGGAGGCAACTGTTTTTGTAGATCTCTCACCCTGTGTAAAGGTGGAACTGCCACACTGCTCTGGGATAAGGGGCCACCGTCTGGCACCTGTATTCTAAAGATGTCAGGGCATCAGCAACTGCACATCACCAAACTCCGCCTGACTCATAAGCTAGGGCTGAAGGGGCCGTAGGCTGACATCCAGCCAAAAGGTCTGTGGGTGCCACCAGCTGGGATGAAGACGTGGATGAGCCCACCGGAGCCTGAACTGCAGCTGGGTCCCGAGGCAAAGAACACTGTGGTCTCAAAGGCTCACCGACAGTGAGGACTGTGGTATCGCTCCGCAGAACACAGTGTTCTCAGGTTTCATCTCAAGATGGTATCTTCTGTATCTCGGAACTTTGGTGAGTGCCATGGTGGAGATCTTAGTGGTGGCAGCAGCCCATCCACACTATGTTGAATGAAATAATTACCTTTTCTTTCAGGGCTGTATAGTATTCCCCATTTTCCTTTATCTCTTCATCCATTGCTGGACAGTAGAGGTGTTTGTGAATCTTGGCTCTTTTGAATATGGCAGTAAATATGGCAGTACTCACGTCTCTTTGTATATATACCCATAAGTGAGATTGCTTGAGCACATGGCAATTTATTTTTAGTTTTTTTCAGGAATCATCATATTGTTTTCCAAAGTTCCTTCTGTAATATACATTCCCACCAATGGTCCAGAAAATTCCCTTTTTCCCCACATCCTCCCTACTATGTTTTGTTTGTTTGTTTGTTTGTTTTGAGACAGAGTCTCACTATATACTTCAGGCTGGTCTTGAACTCATTATGTAGCCCAGGCTGGCCTCAAATTCATGGCGATCCTCCTGCCTCAGCCTCCCAAGTGCATGTGACCTTTGGTCACAGTTTGCTCCCTTTTCCCACAGCTTTGGGGAGTCTGAGATTTGGGGATGGCAGGATAGGAAATAAATGGAACAAGTATGTGATATCAGGTGAATCTTGATTGTCAATCTGACTGGAGTGAGAAATGCCCAGAAAAGTAGTAAGGCACATTCTGGGGTATCTGTGGGGATGTTTCCAGAGATGGCTGGCACATGGACAGGGAGACCCCCTGAGTGGGGGGCCTGGGTGAAACAAAAGCAGAAGAAGGAAGCTCACCAGTCTTGGCCTCCCTCTCTCCCTCCCGTCCCCTGCCACCGTGAGACAGGCAACTTCGCTGTACTCCACCTATGTCAGGATTTCCTGCCTCGCCATGGCCAAAAAGAATGGAGCCAGCATGGTTTTGGCCTTGGACTGAAACCTCTGAAATGGTGAGCTCAGCAAAGTATGTGTTTCTTCCTTTAGGCTGATTCTCACAGCTCAGAAGCAGAAAGCAGATTAACACAAAAACCTTCACACATAAAATATCTCCTTAAAGAGTAAAAGAAAGTTACCAGTCCATCTGTGAATATTTCCGTGGGCCTTTTCCATGCAGAAAATATCCCTGCTCTTAAGAAACTTGCTGTTATACCCAGAGGATAAATGTACGTGAGACTTCAGGCAATACATGGGGTGAGCCACCACACAACTTTCCGACAGGTCACACCCTACAGGTTTCCAAGGAGGAAGAAATTACTGTGGGTCGACAGAGTCAAGGAAAACTTTAAAGAGGAGATCAAAGCTTGACTGGGGCACTGAAAAATGTTCAATATCCAAATGGGAGAAAAAAGTGTAAAGACGTTATTTTGGAGGCCCGGAGGATGTGTTTCTCAGGATCGGGTTCAGAGTGCTCAGTGATTCAGGCACCCTGGGCCCCAAAGGAGATCCCGGACCCCTAAAAGAGAAGGAAGCCTGCTTCTGCTCCAGCTGGTGGCGGCAGACCTTGGCGTCATCTATGTGACACCGGTTTTAGGCACATGCAGGATGCAAGACTTGGGGGTCGGGAAGGCTTCCGCCCAGATTCCAGGAGAAGGCCTGGGAGGCCGGGCAGTGCCCCTGAGAGGGCAGCGTGTGGAGCTGAAGGGACAGTGGAGACCCCACACGTTTGGAGAAGCCAGGAATGTGGGTCATCTGAGGAAAGCCGCAAGGAAGGAGCAGAGCCAGCGCAGGAGAGAAGCCACGGGAGCGGAGCCACCCAAAGTGCTGCAGGAGCAGAGCCATCCAAGCCCTGTGTGGTTCGCATCTTGCCACGGATTGTCAAGGCTGCCAGACACAGAACTCCAGGACTTAATGTCTGCCCTGCCGGATTCTGGACTTGCTCTTGTCCCATTCCTCTGCATCCCCTATTTGTACCTTTTGGAATGGTAACATTTATCTTGTGCCACTGAATGTTGGAAGTGTTTCACATTCATTTATACAGGGGCTTATAGCTAAAAGTTTGCCTTAAATCTCAGAGCAGACTTGGGACTTAGACTTTTCAGCAGTGCTGAAACTGTTAGGACTTTGCCAACTCACAGAGAGGGACCAAGTGCTTTTCGTGTAAAGGAATGTGCATAAGTCTTTGGGGGGCTGAGGGCGGAATGCTATGGTTTGAGTCTAGATGTCTCCACTAAGCCTTAGGTGGTCGTGGGTGGGGCTTTTTCAGAGGTGACTGAATCTAGAGCACGTGATGCTGGGATTAAGGGTGTGTGATCACTAAATCAGACCACTGGTTAGTTTGGCACTACCCTAATCCTGGCAGGGACACAATATAAGGGACCGAAAGAGGCTGGTCTTGTCCCTTGTTTGTTTTGCTACCATCTGCCTGCTATGAACTGTTTCTCCTCTGCAATGCCCTCTGCCATGCTACCCTGCCTTGGGTCTAGCCGATGATGGACTGACACCTCTATAAACTATGAGCCAAATACACCTTTCCTTCCTTAACTTGTGGGCAATGGAAATTTTGTCTCAACAACAAGAAAAGTAACTAAGGCAACAATGTACCAGAGCCTTCGTCAGGCACCGTCCCTTAGATGGGCGCGAGTCCATCTTGGAGAGCACAAAGGTGGTTACTGAGTGACGTTCCTTCCACCTGGGCCTGTCCTGGGAGGGCAGACTGTCCATGACAGCCGGAGGGTTGGAAGGGAATGCAGGAAAGATGCCACGAGGTAATTTTATCCCACAGTGGCTGGCAGACTATGGCTGGGATCCTTCTGCACCCGGGGGGAAGAAGTGTTTCCTTTCTCTGTTCCTCACCATGCAGCCAATGGCAAACCATAACTGCACCAAAGCCAGGTAATAAACAATGATCTATAGCATAAAAATTGTCTGAGGGCTGGGGATTTAGCTCAGGGGCACCGTGCCTGCCTCACAAGTACAAGGACCTGAG